CAACCAACTCAGCCACCCAGGTACCCCATTGTCTGTTTTTTTTAATCTCCCTAAAAACTGTCATTAAAGCAATGGCTCATTTTGCAATAAAGAGCACCTAGTACTAAGAATCTGGGCAAATTCGAGCTTCAGCAGCTCCCGGATGTCATATGGGTTCCCACTGGAGTGCACTCCAGAGTGGAATTCCTTTTTCACCCTGTTCTGGGAGTCCCAATACACCGTGTGACAGGCATAACCCAGGGAGTCCTTATGCTCACCGTGGGTCAGTCCTGCGGTGTGCCCCACCTGCTGTGTGGCAGTCCTTCCTCCTGAGGCAGGTGGGAGGGGGCAGCTGCGGGACAGTCAACCCACAGTTGGCAGCTCTGGGCACCTTCCTCTGGCTGCCGCTCTGCTCCGTGCTTCCCCGCCCACTCACACTGACCTTTTTCCTGGGGCTGCTCTGCCACCGGGTCTTTGTCGCCACCTCTGCCATCCTTCCCTGGCCTGGGAGGGCTGGCAGCGGTGATCTCAACCTCTGAGTCCCTTGGGGTGTGGGCTCCTAGCTACCCTCACACCTGCTCAAGGGATCTCACTCGGGACCCGAGTCCTGGGCTGGAAGGCCCGAGTCCAATGGCAGGAGTGTTGGGCAGGGTGCACTGCCTCCCACCATAGTTTCTCCCAGGACAGGACTTGGTGCTCAGGCTGGCCTTTCTGCCTGGCTCCTTGGCAGTCGTGGTTTGTCCCCCAGGATCCCCACTGTTCTTCCCTGCAGTCTCGCTTACAATAAGCCACCCCGCCCTCCTCAAGTCTCTCAATTTCTGAACATGCCCATATCCCGGCTGTGGAAGGGTCCAAGTCCACTTTCATTTGAGCTTCTGACCCACCTTAAGAGTTCCTTGGCTCAGGAAGCAGAAGGTAGATGGACTGCCACATAGCAGGTGGGGCAGACTGCCAAAGTGACCAAGCAGCTCTGACACCCAAGCAGGTGAGCCTAAGGCATCCCGGATGATACCTGTCACACAGCACTCAGGGACTCTGGGGTGGGGGGAAGGGGTGGCTAGGCACTCACAGCATCCAGGGACATTTACTGAGGCTCCACCATCAGGGCCTGGCAAAGCCCCCTCTGCAGCACTTCAAAATAAGAATTTAAAAATTCCATAGTATCCCCAACATTGCAATGCCCAACACACACACACACACACACACACACACACACACACACACACTTTTGCATATCAGTTGTCATTCTGCCTCCATTAGCCTGTTTCATCAGAGTACTTTTGGTTTCTCCTGCTGGATTTTAGTGATTCTGTGGTAACAAAAGCTGCCAGGGTTCAACTATGAGCTGGAGACACTCCGCACCGTGGTCTGATGTAAAGAACTCTCGGCTTTGGATGTGGAAATGTGCTTGGATGACCCGAGGTCACAAGGCTGACTTTAAATGATAGCTTCCTTAGAAATGCTGGACATTTCTCAGAAACCATCAAAGCCTGCCATGGTTTGCATGACTAAGTGCATTATAAGCAAAAAAAAAAAAAAGTCTTTGATGCTGTTCTCCTTGGCTTTTGGCTTTGGCTAAGCCACATCATTACAACATAGATGAGCTATGGGCAGCTTGCTCTGGGCAAGCCAGCCCTGAAAGATACTGCTGAAGAACTCATGAAATGTAGACTACGAAGATTAAGATCTCCACACTCCCCTCAAAATAAAGCATCTTTTAAGGAAGCAGCCAGAGTGGTGACAAGGTCAGGTGAAAGGAGCAGCTAAAGACTGAGCTCACCTGGGAAATCTCCTTCATTGCTGGTTCAGGAGTGTGGTGTCAGCATCACAGAGTGGAAAGGACTACGTGTCAGAAGAGGCTGTAGGGGAGGGAGGTACACCATCTCTTCGACCCCTCAGGTTCTGTGACCAAGGCCCTGGGAATTAAACTGCCAAAGGACAGATGAACAGAGTTAAAAGATTTATCTCACATGCATATGGAGGGCCTCCTAGACATGAAATGAGACCCCCAAGACACGGTCAGACCCAAAGGACAATAAATACGTAGAGAAGTGACAAGACAGTTTAAAGAAAAAAGGCTCTTGAGCTTCTGGGGTTGGTAAGTTGTGGGAATGGATGGAATGTGAACACTTAGGAAGTCTGGTTATAGCACTTCCTCTCGGTGCCATCTTGGGACTGATGGGTCTGGAGTTCTCTCCAGTGATTCAGTCCTGCCCTTCCAGGTACAAGAGAGGGCAAGAGGGGATCCCTTCCCAATGGGAAGTCTTTTCCCTGTTTTTAGGCAAATGGGGAGGGTAGAGAGCTTTTCCTGTGGTCTGTTTCTCAGTTGTATTCAGCTCAAAACAACTCTTACGCCAAAGTGGTGTATTTGGGAGTGACATATTCTGTTAACATTCAATTTCATATAAGTTATCAAGAGTCCATCTCCTGCTAGGCTGCAAGCACTCTAAGGGTGAGGACTGTACCCATCTTGCCCACCATTGTATTTACAGAACCTAGCACAGCACCTGGTCCATTTATTTGGCTATGAATTTGTGGGTGACTGATGTTGAGCTGCTCTGGACCTCAGCTTCCTTGTCTGTGAAGCGAAGATAATAATCTTGTCTTAGCATCACTGGATCTCTTTCTACACTGACACAGAGGTTCCCAGGGTGGACATAAGAAGGAGACAGTATAATCTCTTATTTTGGAAAAAATAGTGTTAAGTGTAAAAAAAAATTTTCGTCATTTAAATGGTAGCTCTTCCTTATTTGAATATTCCCAGGGAAATATGGCAAGCTATGATGGGAAGCAGATCAAGACACATCGCAGCAAACAACCCATGAGAGTTTTTTCATTTTGTTCCCTCCTGTAACACATTTTGCTGGGAGTCAGAAATGTGTGGATGCACACCACTCATATTTCTTCTGTTCAGGAAATTACACCATGGTGGGGATGGCTGGAGGGGCAGCGAGTGTTCATTTCCCAAGTGCTACATTCACAAAGGCAGGAAGGATAAGAACCCAGAAACCCATCTTTGCTTAGCTGCAAAACAGAGTTTTTGAAAAATGTGGCCCTGTGACATGTCCTCTGTGTTTTTATCGGAAGAATGATAGTGGCAAATCTGTGGCTTAGTGGGGAAAAGTCCTTAAGGTTGGAGTTGGGTGTCTCAGATCCTAACCAGGGCACACTTTGCTTTGTCCTTGAGCAAACCATACTTCTCTCTGGGGCTGTTTCCTCCTTTGATCTTAATGTTTATAAGACCCCTCTGGGCTCTAACATTTTTAGGAAGGTAATATCAGTACTGATTTGGATTAGCCAAATCCAGGTGCTGCTCCTTCAGGGCATCTCTTCCCATTCCCTGGTGATCCTGGCCATCCCCCAAACCAAGTAGCAGGGCCAGCACCTGGACCCACTACCCCAGGTGGATGAGGAGGCTGCTTGGCTCATTAAGAGATCCCAAGTGACCCAGGGCGCAGCTAAGAGACTTGGGGCATGCTGGGGGAAAAGTGGAGCCCTGGGGAAGTGCTGCAAGGAAAAGGCAGAGTTTTGCTCCATGAACAGCAGGTCCAAGGATTCGGTAGAAGCTGGTGAGTCAATTAGGCCCAATCTTCCAGGTCTGAGATTAGCCAGGAAAAACTCTGCTCAGTCCCATAAAGCTGGAGCTTCCAAGAAGCCCAGACATCCATCCAGGACCTACAAGGAATATCCTGGGGCTTAGTGAGGGCAGGTTGGGGACCCAGGAAGGGACTGTGCACACAAGTTCCTGACAATTTAACACCACATCTTCTCTCTGAAGCCTTGTGATGTGTGGTGCATGCTGGGATATGGGAGAAAGTGCAGCAGAGGTGAAACACAGTCTCTGAGAGTGCCCCAGAGGCCCAGAGTACATTGTATATAATTACTGAATTATTCTTTGGCTGGGGATAATTCAGGGAAGGCCTCCAGGAAGAGGAGTAGAACTCTTGAAGGAAAGCCGGAGGAACTGGGAGAAAAACATTCCAGAGCCAGCAGAGCAAAGGTGCGCGGGGTGGAGAGATGCCTCAGGTGTCCTGGGAACCAGACCTCCTCTTGGTGAGCCAAAGACCTAAGCTAATGGGAGACACTATTGGAAAGGTAGGTCACTGCTGAATCTTTCTGAGACGAGAATGCAACACTCATGATTTTGGATTTAGCCTCACAGCAAAGTAAAAAACTGGCCGATTGCGTTTATTCTGCAGATGGCTTTTGTTTGGCCTGTGTAGTGTGTGTGTGTGTGTGTGTGTGTGTGCGTGCGTGTGTGTTTAATTTGAGCCAACCTTTTAAAATACGGACCTAAATTTCACATACTACCCAGATTTCCAGCTTCTCCTTAATCATGGGAAGATCTGGTCTTGTGAAGATAATCCGAAGGAGTGAAGTAGCCAAGTCCCTTTTGGATGAGCCACATAGGGTCCAGCTATCGTAACTGCATACTTGCCCCACCTGGCTCGGCCCATTTGTGGCACCCTCCAGACTCAGGCCATAGAAGGTGGCACCTTGGGGTTAATAGCAGTAAGACTAGTCACGGGCAGCAGTTGGGTGGGGCACTGGCAGGAATGGAGGCAGGATGCCTGCTAGAGATGGTTGCAGAGGTTCGAGCAGAGCCTAGGTGATGGCAGTGCATGAAAAGAAAGAGCTGGCTTTTGATTGCAAAGGACTAGGTGCTGCCTGGTGGTGTGAGGTGAACGCCAGTGAGGTCTCTGTCCCAAATTCATTCTCAACAAGTGTGAAGCCCATGCTCAAACCCTAATAATATCTTAAACCTGATCATTTCGCCTTCCTTATCTCATCAGATCCACCATACCCATGAGAATGTGGTATAGTCACTGTCCCCTCCATTCTGTGGGTGAAGAAATTGAGATTCTGAGATGGTTGGTTATTTGCCTAAAGCCCCTCAGCCAGAAAACAGAAATACTTGAACAAAATACCTTTGGGCTTCCAACCCGAATCCACCTCCGTTGGTCGGGTGTATGCCTCCATGTTGCACAAAGTACTCCTTTCTGGTTTTATCTTTTTTTAAAAAAAATATGGAGTGCTTTACAAATTTGAGAGTCATCCTGTGCAGGGGACATGCTAATCTTCTCGTATCATTCCAAATTTGAGTTTATGTGCTGCCAAAGTGAGTGCATCTCTCTGCTTTTTAACAGTGCAGATACATCTAGCCAGGAGAAAGCACTCCCGTTCCTAGCAAAGCATGATGACCTGCTCATAGAGAAGGCACCGTAGCCTAGGGGCCAGGCAGAGGCTCTGAGCCAGCCTGCCTGGCTGTGAATCCCATCACTTCTACTTACTGGCAAGTCACTAAATATTGCTGCCTCATTTTCCTTGCCTGGAAGAAATGATGGCAGCGCTGACTTCACAGGGTTGTTGTGAGGATTCAGTGGGCTACTACATGCTCTTTCATTGTTATCCACATTCTTCATAAGCCTGTCCACAGCCCTGGGTGTCTTGTGCTGAGCAGAGAACAGCAGGGGCACTGGGGAGACTTGTGTGGATGTGGAAGGGGCATCGGGACACCATCTCTGCATGGTGATTGCCAACAAGAGGCTATATTGGTGATTGAAGAGCCATCTGGGTCATTATGGATGGTAGAGAGTGGGAGATGGGACTTGTCCTTGCTTTGGACCATCCTCCTAGGGAGTTAGGCTTGGAGTTTTTTTTTTAATTTTTATTTATTTATGATAGGCACAGAGAGAGAGAGAGAGAGAGAGAGAGGCAGAGACACAGGCAGAGGGAGAAGCAGGCTCCATGCAGGGAGCCCGACATGGGATTTGATCCCGGGTCTCCAGGATCGCGCCCTGGGCCAAAGGCAGGCGCCAAACCACTGCGCCACCCAGGGATCCCAGGCTTGGAGTTTTGTATTCCTGGGACAGCCAGAGGAAAGAGACTTGAGGCTGGTGGAAGTGACAACACTCAGCTCGAGGTAGACTATGTGCTGGCTGGTCATAATCACGGGTACTAAACAGCTGATATTGTGCCCAGGGTGCTAACTACCTAGAGACACTGCCTTCTGGAAACCCTGAGCCCATAACCTGCACTTAGACCCCTCAGAATGGGAGCACTGAGTCTGAGTGATGTTCATATAGGCCAGGCAGTTTGCATAGCTGTGGTAGGCAGAAGGATGGCCCTAATACCTAGGACAAAACATTACATGGCTGGCCCATTAACTGTGCTAATGTAATTAAAGGAAGGACTTTGAGATGGGGAGACTAGCCTGGACTATCCAAATGGACCCAATCTAATCTTATTGCTCCTTAAAAGCAGAGAAACATTGCTAGCTGGGGTTGGGGGCGGGGGTTGGTTAAGGAAGATGCAGGCCACAGGCTTTGTAAAAGGAGGGTGGGGGCCTTGAACCAAGAAATGTGGGCAACCCCTAGAAACTGAAAAGCGAGGGAATTGATTCTCCCCTAGAACCTCCAAAAAGGAACACCACCCTGCAGACACCTTGATTTTTAGCTCAGAGAGACTCACATCAAATGTCTCTCCCTCCAGAGATGCCTAAAACTCTTTTGGAACCAAGGAAGATAGGAAGTAGCACAGAGAGGTTTCAGAGTCTAAGTATTTGGGCCACATCCAAGGGGAAGTGTCATTGGAGTCAAAGGTCAAACCTTAAGTAGCACATTTAAGGAAATGGGAGCCAAGTTTTAGCTGGACCTGGGTGTTGAGAGTGTTTGAACCTCCAGAAAGATGCTATCCCTGAAACCATCTCTCTAACTACTGGGTAACCTGCTCAAGACTTCTGGTTAGTTCTCTCTCCTTCAGGATAACTCAGTGTTTCTCAATGAGGCAAGGACGGGGATAATTTTTCCCTCAGGAAATATTTAGCAAAGTCTGAAGAAAGTTTTGGCTGTCACAAGTGGGAAGGGGAATTGCTCCTAGCATCTAGCGGGTAGAGCCCACAGGTATTGCTAAACATCCTACAATGGGCAGGAACTACACTCCCCCAACTAAGAATGATCTACTCACAAATGTCAACAGTAGAAGGGTTGAGACACCCAGAGGTAGACACACTGGGAGGAATGGGTTCAAATCCACATGGCTGATGAGTGAAAGACAACCCTGCTTTTCCAGCTCTTCACTGAAAGGCAGCCATCCCTCAACCAGTCCGCGGGGTGCTGAAAGTCTGGTTGGTTCCTCCAACCACATAGAGGACCAGCCCCAACTCAGGCATTTATGACAGGCAGGAACTGGGATGAGTAAAAGAAGGTAGTTTTGAGTAACTACCAATGGCACAGGGGTAGTCTCTCTGTAAACCACTGCCTCATCTCCCGGTCAGTATATCTACTGTTTCTTGGAGGTGCCTATCCCATTCCAGCAATTTATCCCCCTGACAATGCCTTTCTAGGACTGAGCAGAGCATTCCAGGGACTATTTCAGTGATCAGGAGATAGAGCTAATCTCAGGATAGCCTCTGATTCACCCTGAGCTCTTCTCCCTTTGTATTTATCCATCATCCCCACCTATCAAGATAAATCAGGAGGTCACTGCCTACCTTGGTTGGGCAGTGGGGCAGAGGGGTTGAACCCCTGGTTAAGGTGTAAAGGCACCAGCCATGTGTGCTGCTATAAGTAGGCTTTGAAATAATTGTATCCCTTCTAGTTTGCAGGGAGTTTGACACAATTTATGTGGTATGAGGAGGTCTCCCCACTGTACAAATGGGGAAACAAGGCTTTGAAAGACAATGTTTCTCAAACATGAGGGATTGTGGTTCTATGTGGTAAAACCCCTAGCTAACCGCCAGGACACATCAGGATAATCTTCACCAAATTATCCCCAAGGCCAATAATTAGTGTTACCACATTTACCTTCAAAATGCATTAAACTCACACTTTGCTCACACTTTTTATCACTCCATTTCTCACCATTGTGATAACCAGTATTAATGTCCCTCACCTTCCCTATCCCAAACCTGCCAGTACTGCTTTGGTGAAAACTGGCAAGGAGACAGAACATTTTCCCAACATACCAGTGTCCCACGGCACATAAGGACAAAGAGAACCAGGGTGCCCATTAGTGAATGGCAGATATGAGGCTGGCAAATGCAAATGCTGGTTATCTCTGGTGGCAGGTCTATGGGTAAATGCCAATTTCTTCTTAATGCCTCTCTGCATTTTCCAAATTGGGTATAATTATTCTATAATCAGAAAAAAAGTTTTGAAGCATGTATTTCTTTAAAAAATAATAGGAAAGATGTGAATCTGGAGCCTACATCTTTTCAAACTGAGTCAGGTTGTCATCTTCACTTTTCAGTAATATTTGCTAAAAAGTTTGGAAAATTCATGGGTGCTTCCCAGGGTGCCATGTCATTGGAAAGTGGGGGAAGAAAAGGCAAAAGAACACTGCCTGTCTCAGAAAGATTAGGGAGAGGGCTGTAGCATGCTTCCTCCATGGTGCCTGACCCTAAGGGTCCAGGGTTAATGACAGTTTCAGTAGAAGAAGACAAACCTACTCTTTTTTTTTTTTAGATTTCATTTACTTATTTGAGAGAGAGAGAGAGAGATCATGAGCAGGGAGAGGGGCAGAGGGAGAGGGAGAGAAAGAGAGAATCTCAAGCAGACACCATAGCTGAATATGGAGCCCAATGTGGGTCTCGATCTCATGACTCTGAGATCATGACCTGATTTGATGGTCTGATCATGATCAGCCTGAGTCTGATGCTCAATTGACAGCCATCTGGGCACCCCAGAAGCCTGTTCTTTCTTTCTTTTTTTTTTAATTTTTATTTATTTATGATAGTCACAGAGAGAGAGAGAGAGGCAGAGACACAGGCAGAGGGAGAAGCAGGCTCCATGTACCAGGAGCCCGATGTGGGATTCGATCTGGCGTCTCCAGGATCGCGCCCTGGGCCAAAGGCAGGCACCAAACCGCTGCGCCACCCAGGGATCCCAAGGCTGTTCTTTCTTAAAGAAAACTTGTTCTTTCTTAAAGCTTCTTGGTCTTTATGTTTCCCCTGCCTCTTCAAGTTCTTCAAGATTGTTTTTCCTCACTTGGATCTGCTTTGAGACCATTATTTCTGCTTCAAATACTTCTATTTATTGTTGAATTGTGATGGGGGTAAACAGGGTCAGGAACAGGAGTTTAATATTGAGAGTCTCCATGATGCTTATAATGATCATCTTTTGTACTCAATCATTGCAGAAGAACTAGCTGCACTGTCTCTTACTCAATTCTCAAGATTAGACTCCTCAGAATAGATATATTGATATATCATACACATAGGACAAGGCCATTGGGTTCTGGAAGGGGCATTCAATTTAGGGGAGGTGGAGGCTTTCTTGCTCTTGACTATTTCGGCTCAAGGATTATAAACTTGTGCTTCTGGTTTTTTTTTCCAATATTTTATTCATTTATTTAAGAGGGAGAGAGAGCACAAGAGTGAGTGAGAGCGCAAAAGCAAGGGGAGGGAGAAGCAGACTCCTCTCTGGTAGGGGGCCCAATGCAGAGCCCCATCCCAGGACCCTGGGATCATGACCTGAGCTGAAGGCAGATGATTAACCAACTGAGCCACCTAGGCACCCCTATCTTTTACTTCTTAAACGAATGTTCTCGAGGACCAGTTTGAGCATTTGCTTTCATTTGACCGTGTACTCTTTTAGTGTTTCCAGTCTCCTCATCTTTAGCTTGGTTCTGTGCACTCCTTAGGGTTTCTCAATATTCCTGATTTCTCTTGACTCTTCCATGTAATTTCTCGGGTTTTCCTGAGAAGAATTAAGAAGGTTACTCCTGGATAGGATTAGGAAATCATTGATATTTGCCTAACATACTACCAGGGGTTTCCTGTGACCTTCCATGCCTTTCCTTTTGTATCCCCCTTTGGAGCATCACTGCCTTCCATTAATTTCTCCTGAGCTGTCCAAAGCCTGAACAATGTTCTAGACCTCCATATCCTGCCTGCATTAAGGGCAATCTTATCCACTGGTCAGGGAGAAACAGAAGGTAACTTGTGCTTCCCGATCCTGTGCCCAGAGCACAGGTATCACAAATCAGTCAGTGAACTCCCTACCGAGTTCACACTCAGCACCAGAATCTGCCTCCACTGGCACTCAGGCGACCACAACCAGTTGACTAAATCCATTGATTTGACATGAGCTTATTTGCCCTGGTGTCAGGGGATTTCTGATCTAAAC